TTTTTTTGTTTGTTTTTTATTTTATTATAATTTTTTGTTAGTTTTTTGGGCTGATGTGCCAAAATTGTGTTTGCATTCAGTAGCCTATACAGCAGCATTTTTGTGCCATGTTTAAAAATAGCTAAATAAATAAAATTTGTCATAATATTTTAAGAATAAAGTTACAATTAAGATAATAAAATCATGTTATATAATGTGAAAATTCCACCCATAGGCCTATTCCTCCAAAAAAAAAAAAAAGTCTGTGGCATCCGTCATTCTTTTGACTTTTTTTAAAACTCTGATTGATAGATTCATGAGGCATTCGTTTGTATTGAGTTGTTCAGATTTTTTTCAACATGCACTCAAATATTCATGTTTATTTTGTGCTGCAAATATTAAAGAAGAAAATATAATTGATTCATATGCAGCTTGAACTGTGGCGAATTCTCGTACACATTTTTTTGCATATGGGCCCGGGGCTGACTTGCTACGCCACTGAATAAGACTGATGTACCCGCGTTGTAACACAAATAAATGTAAGGTTTTTGGATTTTCCCCTTACTTTAAATGCATGCTTATGACTCATTATTATTAATCGAAAAAAACAACAACAAAAAAAACATTAAACTTTGAACTTTTATTAACAAAATAAATAAGGATATGTTTTACTCGCGTTTAACACAAATAAATAACCTATGGATTTCCCCTCAGGCTACCTTAAAATGTTCGTAGTTTGTGGTTTATTGTCTTATTAATTAAAACACATCAGCCATAAAATAGTACAATGGCAAATTCGCATATATTAAACATCTACCTTGCATTGACAAAATGAATAAGATGGATATAGCAGTTGTAACCCAAATAAATACGTTTTTTTTCCTTTATTTAAATCGAATGCTTAGTTTGTGGTTCATTGTAATTTTTTAAATGAAAACCCAGCAACAAAGACACTCACTTATAGGCTATTAAACGAATAAATGAAAGTTTTATTAACAAAAGTTGCGCTTTGGTTCCGCCATCATATAGTGTGTTCTCGCATCACTCTTGTCACGTGACCCCCCAACCCCCCCCCCCTCGTTTTATTTCTCAGCCCCCCCCCCAGCTCAAAATACGTTCCCGCGGCTATGATTTAGCCTATATATTTGTTGAATATATGTAATTTACTCTATTGTCAGGCAGAGCAGTTTACACTGGTTATTTTAATGTAAATTTATGCACACATGTAGAATGACGTTTTTGTTCAATGTTGTGTTTTAAGACAACGTATAAACTTTAAAACAGTTCAAAAATAGTTTAGCTTTTAAGAATGTGTCTTGAGACCTCTACTGTTCTCTTCTGTAAAAAACAAAAAAAAACAAAACATATATCTAGAGATGATTATAAAAAATTGTAATTTGGCATATCCCTACAAAGAAGGTTAAATTATTCATATTTTAATAATTTGAGTTTAATACTCAAATATTTTGAAATATTATTACAATTTTAAAATTGTAATCTAAAAAGTCTATAATAATAATAATAATAATAATAATATATCCCTGTGATGTAAAGCTGAATTTTCAACAACCATTACTACAGTCTTCGGTGTCATGATCTCATGTTCTTACAGAAGTTGCTGCATTTTTTTATTATTATTATTATATTCTTTGATTAATTTGATCATTTATCTTATTATTTTTTAAGTCTTTACTTTACGGTCACATTTCATCTATTTAATGCATCCCCACTGAATACGATTATTAATTCCTTTCACACACACACACACACAGGTTTGTTTTTATGGTTTATGGGGACTCTCCATAGGCGTAATGGTTTTTCTACTGTACAGACCGTATATTCTATTGCCCTACACCAACCCTATCCCTAAACCTACCCCTCACAGGAAACTTTCTGCATTTTTAGATTTTCAAAAAAACTCATTCTGAATTATTTATAAGCCTTTTGAATTACGGGGACACTGAAAATGTCCTCATAAATCACCTTCTCATTGTAATACCTATGTCATACCCCGTTATTACACAAATTTGTGTCCTCATAAACCACATAAATATGCACACACACACACATACAAACTTACTGACCCCAAAGTTTTAAATAGTAGTGTGTCATGCAATAAGCACAAACCTCTGTTCTTCTGAAAGACAGTAGACACTGCATCAAATGCCCGTTTATCTCCTGTTATCAAAGAGTCCAAGAAATGAAGTGATTCTTCATGGAGAGAAAGGCTAAGCCATCAGAACATATTCCAAACAGAAAATCCTGATCCAGGCTCATGCACACATTGCCATTACATAACTTAAGGGTCATAAAACATCTTAAACAGAGCCAGGTTGAGCAGATTTGCAGCTTTAGTTCGATGCAGTTGGATGTTATAGTGCCTGAGAATATATTAATGACAAATGTCCGGCATTAATTATAATAAATGATGATGATAATAATAATAATAACTGGATTAAAATCAGTGTTTTTTATGTTAGTGCTCTGTATTTTTATATGTAAACAATATTACAATTTATACTGTGAGTTAATGTCGTTTGTGTTCGTCTGGCAGATCCTGAGCAGATCATGAATGTTTTGCAGCGTGTCGCTTGACTGGAAATCAGATGAGAGCATGCAGGCACACTTTAACCACTTAACACACTGTGTCATGTGTGCCGAGATGTTCTTCTCTGTCAAACTTCTGTGCAGAGAATACAAGTGTGTGAATGTTGCATTAGATATTATATATCAAATGCTGCAGGAGCTTTTCTCAGAACTGTTTTCCCTTTTATGAGCCATTCTTGCAATAACTTTTAATTAACTGGTGATCTTTAGTCAATGTGTGAAGTTCACATTCATGCATCCTTAAAGAAACAGCTCACCCAAAAATGATCTGGAAATGTACTCACCTCAAGAAATGTAGCATCACATCACTTGTTCACCAATGGATCCTCTGCAGTAAATGGGTGCCGTCAGAATGAGAGTCCAAACAGCTGATAAAAACATCACAATAATCCACAGGTAATCCACACCACTCCAGTCCATCGGTTAATGATTTGTAAAGTGAAAAATGCTTGTTTGTAAGAAACAAATCCATCAAGAGGTTTTGACTTTAAACCAATGTTTCTGGCCAAAATATAAGTCCATAATCCACAATAATGCTTCATTCAGTGACAAAGTCCATCCCCTGTTGTCTCTCACATCAAAACCCACAACACATTTGTTTAGAGCTGTTTTGGACTGTTTTCACTTGTAAAAGGTGCTTGATCTGTGCATATTTCTCTCCTGATTCAGATGAGACGACTGGATGGAGTTAGTGTTATTATGATATTACAATGTTATTACGGTGTTATTACAATGGATTTATTTCTTACAAACAAACAGCTTTTTTGCCTCACAAGACGTTGACTGATGGAGTGGTGTGGATTATTGTGCTGTTTTTATCAGCTGTTTGGACTCTCATTCTGATGGCACCCATTCACTGCAGAGGATCCACTGGTGAGCAAGTGATGTAATGCTACATATCACCAAATCTTTTCAGATGAAGAAGAACTATTTTTGCGTGAACTATTCCTTTTAAGTATAACTTAAACACTTCTTGGGGCCACTGTAACTGCAAATGAAGATAAAGGACCAGAAAAAGGAAGAGTAGAGGAAAATACATAACTCATGTTTAGTATGTAATACGAATGTAGCAGTTTACTACCATTTTTATGTACACTAAAGTTTGTCGGAACGAAAAGTTTCCCATCTGAGCACAGATATGTGTGGGATGTATAGCTGAGCTGTCCGAGAAGCGTAAGAGTAAACAGTCTCTGATCCGGCCTGCTCATGTTTGGATAACCTTGTTTGGCTCCAGGAGCAACGCTCCGTTGCTTTTAATAAATTTAATTTGCAACTCCAAGCTTCCACCGCCATGCCTCGCCCCCACTGAAGCTCGGAGAAATGAATGGATTTTGTATGCATTTTTCTGGAATGCAATAACACAGGTTTTCTTGGGAGAGAGTGTGCTGCACTTGCCCCGGAGATTTCACAGAATTCCTGAGTGTGATGTCCTTCGGCAAGATGGCAGTTTGCTTGAAAGCAAATGTAATAAATAAGCTCTCTTCTGAGGGATTATCTGTGATCGTTTGCCATCGTCATTTTCAGTGTCACTTCTGATAATTGAACAAGAGGTTTGCTTATGTACTTATGCTCTTAGGATACCTTCATCCTGGATTTCCCGCTGGATGCATGTTGATAATTGATAATATTGTGTGGTTTGTGTTTTCATACAATTGATTATTGCTCTTTTAGCTTCTACATCTCTGATTATGTTTAGCCTTGGATTTTCATCTGTGCTCACAAGTTACTGATTCATTTCAACAACAAGTAATACTGTATATCTGTCCGTCTGTCTGTGTTACTATAATAACTATTATTGTGTTATTGTTGTAGGAGATGACCCACTCCTGGCCTCCACCTCTCACTGCCATCCACACACCAGGCAAAGCTGAACAAACCAAGTTTCCCATCCCTTCAAAGGTGGGCTCTCTCTCTCTCTCTCTCTCTCTCTCTCTCTCTCTCTCTCTCTCTCTGGATTTTTGTCAACATTACTGAGCATTAGTCAACATTACTGAGTTATCATTACATAAACCGCTATTGTTAATTATAGAGCTTGCAAGGGGCTGTCTATTACTTGCGTAGCCTCCTTATAAAGCAGTGTCCTAAGTGAACCTGATCTGAAACACTCTGCATAGGTTGCAACTCCACACACATACAAACAGTGCTTCTCACAAGAGAAAATTTTAGTGCAATTTTGTGTTAGCTAGTTTGGCAACATGCTAACAAAAACTGGCATAAACATACACAGCACACACAAAACATAGAGTAAAATAGTCATTTACTAATTAGTTTGAAATATTTTATTAATACTTTTCACTGTTGAATGCAGTATAGTACATATATTAATAGCCGCAACACCCCCAGTGTCGTTTTGATTTTTTATAGTAATAAAAATAATTTTGTTCAGTAAAAGAACAGACACTACAATTAAAAACTGAATGCGGCTGCTCAATGCAGCGTGCCGAACGACAGTCGCATCACAGATCAGATTTCATTTCTCCAGCGAGGAGAGTGAGTCGAGCTGACTGACAAGAAGAGTGAGGTGAGACAGACAAGATGATCGCGGATGATTTCGTTTCGAAACGAGATGCAAAAGCGCCTGTTTGGCAATATTTTGGATTTTGAAAAGCCTGTTGACTTTTGCCGTTTATCTGATTTTGGAAGTTTTTTTAAAACATTCGTTTCTTATTTAATTGGTCGCCTGCCCTTTAGCATGGTGTATTTGTATTTGTTTTGTTAATAAAAGTTCTATGTTTTATATATGATGAAGAGAGTTTGACGTTGTATTTTGATGTTGCTGAACGCCGAATTGCTGCTAATTCGAGCGCACGGCGCTTTTTAGCTATTTAAAAGTGAAGGAAAGCGAGGAAAAGAGGGAAAATTCAAATGAACAATTCAAGCCATTTTCACTTTTTGTGTCCTGATTTACCAGTGTATGAGTGCTAAGACACAGATGCTTCAATCTCATGAGTGATTTTATTAAAACTAAACATAGGGTTAAAAAAGAAGAAAAAAAACAACAACCTTGAGTTAATTCTTTGCTTCCTATCAGCGGCGAAATGTATGTGTAAATTTCCTATGGAAAGCAAAAACATATTGAACTTAAGTGGTGCAAAAATTAGTTTGAACCTCTTCAAAAGCATGTTTCTAAACAGATATGACAAAGTCAAACGTGTTTGTGTGTGTGTGTGTGTGTGTGTGTGTGTGTGTGTCAGTTTGGAGAGGCAGCGATGGGGTGATACTGCAAACAATAGCTGGAGGAATGCTGCATTGTTTACTCGTAGAAGCCACTTAAAGGCTGCAGTCATCTGCTGATCTGGCCCCAGTCTCTGATATGTCATTTTCTCTTCATTCCCAAGACCCAGCGCAAGCCTTGAGCGCCACTTTTCTTGTTTACTGCATTACCTTTCACATATCCCACTGTATTCTTACACTGCTCCATTATTCCTTTGCTCCTGCTCAGAATCACTCCGCCTCTATTCCTCTCAATTATGTGCCAGATATTTGAAAGGTCTTAAATTATTTAACCAGTCCAAATGTTTAGGGATGCAGCCTTCAGGGTAAGAACATTTCTGTCAATACTGGCTTTGTCCTCGAGAGCTGAGAGCATGAACTTAGGCTGAATGTTTGAATTGTAGTGAAGACAGAAATGAATATCAGGAAATATCATGCTGACAGAAATGTTACATGATATTGAGCAGTCTTTGCATTGCTGAATGTCAAGGGGGAACAACGAAAGCGAGAACCATTCTGTTGCATATGCACCATGGACTATGGATATGCACTCATCATGAATGAGACCGTTTTCAATCAAAATGTATTTAATTGACAGGACTTAAAGGGATAGTTCACCTAAAAATTATTCACTGAATCATTTACTCACCCTCATGTCATTCCAAACCTGTATGAGTTTCTTTCTTCTGCTGAACACAAAAGAAGATATTTTGAAGAATGTGGGTAACCAAACAATTGCTGGTCCCTATTGACTTCCATAGTATTTCATAGTATTGAGGTCAATGGGGACCAGCAACTGTTTGGTTACAAACATTCTACAGAACAAAATGAGAACCAGCAACCTGCTGACTTCCGTAGAATGTTGGTAACCAAACAGTTGCTGGTCCCCATTGACGTCCGTAGTATTTCATTCTAAGGAGGTCAATGAGGACAGTAGCTGTTTGGTTGCTCACATTCTATGGAAGTAAATGAGGACCAGAAACTGTTGACTTCCATTGAACATTGGTAACCAAACAGTTGCTTGTCCCAATTAAAGTCTGTAGTATTCCATACTATGGAGGTCAATGGGGACCAGTAACTGTTTGGTTACTCACATTCTATGGACGTAAATGGGGACCAGCAACTGTTGACTTCCATAGATTGTTGGTAACCAAACAGTTGCTGGTCCCCATTAACTTCCATAGTATTTCATAGTATAGTATTCTATACTGTTTTGTGCGGATCACTCCGCTGTGGCGACCCCAGATAAAAAGGCAGCAAGCCAAAGGAAGAGAGAGTGAGAGAGAGTATTCTATACTGTTTGGTTTACAACATTCTTCAAAATATCTTCTTTTGTGTTCAGCAGAAGAAAGAAACGCATACATGTTTGGAACAACTTGAGGGGGAGTGAATGATGACACGTTTTATTTTTGGGTCAGCTATCTCTTTAAATTACATCCACTTATGGATTCTCAAGTGGGCTTTATAATGTTGGTTAATTGGTTCTAGATGTTGACATTATGTAACACTTTTCAGTAAGTGTTGTTATCTCTTCAAGTCTCATAACCTCAGGCAGTAATGTTCCTCACTCTACCTCACCGATACCTCAAGACTAACATGGAGGATTCAGATATGCCATCTTATAAACCTTTAGCACTTGAATCTCTCCCACTTGGGCCACAATCATCCATTAGGCGGATAGTACAGGGGCTTTAATTTGAAGTTTACCGTGGTGAGGAGTCGTAAAACGGCACTTTTCCTCGACGGATCGGCCATTTTGTAACCTCCTTGCGAGTGCCGGTGATCAGTGGTGTAATTTACTTGGAGCCTGATATTAGTCACACTCAACTGGTGCTTTTCCCACAGTCTGTGAGAGCACACCAGAGAATATGGGCTAGTGTCAAACACAGACGGGGCCGCAAGCCAAGGATAGCCTCTACTAAATTAGATATTCTCTGGGATGTTGCTCCGCTCACACGTTCTGCTTGAGGATATTATTATGGTGTTATGTACCACTGTGGAATATTGGATTTATGAGTATCTATGTGTTTTATTTTGACCAGCACATTCCCTTAAGGCAACACACCACAGGCAAAGCCAATGTTTTTTTTTTTCATGCACGGTCAATTTTGAGATTTTAGGCTACTTCGCTTTTATAACTTGACTTCTTTCAGACTAGTGGAAATAAAACATGCACAGTTCAAGTGTTTATTTTATTGCACTTTATCTATTTGCTCTGTAGATTTAAATTACAATACATGTCTTTAAAGGAAGTTTTCTCAAATAGATTTTTCCCCATGCATTGAGCCAGAAATATCCTGCACTTACATACACTGATACACTGATATATAGATATAAAATTCACCTGATATACTACACACACACAATATATTTTGAAGAATGTTGGTAATCAAACTGTTGATGGTAACCACTGACTTCCATAGTGTTTTTTTCCACACTAAGTCAATGGCTACAAGCAACTCTTTTCCACATTCCATACCAGTTACCAACATTCTTCAAAATATCTTCTTTTGTGCTCAACAGAAACACATACCCATTTGGAACAAGTGAAGGGTGAGTAAATGATGACATAATTTAATTGTTGGGTGAACTATCTCTTTAAAAGGCTTATGAACTATGAAATTAAAATGCCATTGATAAGAAGTCGTTGCACTATATAAAAGCATCCTGTAAGATTCAGAACTCAAAACTTTCTCATTAGTCTAAAAACAGCTTATATTGAAGCCAGTCTGCCAAAACGACAGCTTGTGGAATGTGCCACTTTATAATATAATATAATAGTTATATTTATAATAGTGTGGCTAAATCCCGCCTCCGCAGAAGAAGATCAACGCCTGATTCTACATCACTGCCTGTTTAGCCCCGCCCACCAGGATTTTTAGAAAGATTGAAACTAAAAGACTGTGTTGTGCCGACTATATTGAATCTGACAGTAATGTCGCACCACACAAGTGTGAGTAACTGTTTTTATTATGTGGTCGCTATTGTTTTGCTTGTTATTGCAGATTGTTTGATATACTGAGTACTTATGCGTTTTTAACCTAAATCACAGCAGCGTCTGTATACTGTCAAACATACACAACTGTTTGCCAATCATAGCAATCTACAATCCACCATGCCTATTCAAACAGAGCATTGTGATGAGGGGGGGTCAAAACAGGACAGAAAATAGCATATTACTTCTAAATTGTGATATTTTTTTATGTAAAATGTTGATAACATTATAAGTGGACCCCAGAGAACAGTACAAAATAATAAAAATTCAGTTCATGGCGCCTTTAATGCCATTTCAGATCCAGAGACTGTGCATTGAGATATTTTATATATGTATTTAGAGAGAGTTTTCATTCAGCTGATTGTCATACAGTACACAAAAGCCTGTCTGATTACTCCTTCATTAAACAGGCACATTATACAGCATTCATCTCACATGAAGTCAACTCAGGGAGTCATCAAATTGTAATTGATTAGACTTAATTAGTCATCAGAAGGAAGGGGAGAGGAGAGCGGTAAGTGCTCTCTTCGTGATGGAAATGGGTGCAGATGCTCTTCAATGATGCTAAGATGCTCTGAACTGCTGCAGCCTCAAAGTCAGAGGTTCATCAGACAGCCTTCGCCAACATCCAGATCTGCATTAAGAGTTCAAACAGCATTGTGACAAACATTCTCAAACAAAGAAGAGGATGGACTAATTTTAAACCATTTGACACAACCATAGGAGAGAAAATCACAAGGAAGGTCTTAATAATACACTACGGTTCAAATGTCTGTGGTCAGTAATTGTACTTTTATTGAGCAAATGTGCATTAAACTGACCAACACTGGCAATAAAGGCAATAATCAATCATTTCTAATAAACACTGTTCTTTTAAACTTTCTATTTATCTAAAAATCCTGATACAAAACTGTATCATGGTTTCCATAAAAATATGAGGCGGCACAACAGTTTTCAACATTGATGATAAGAAATGTTTTCTGTACAGCAAATCAGCATATTAGAATGATATCTAAAGGATCTTTCGATACTTAAAACTGGATTAATGATGCTGAAAATTCAGCTTTGATCACAGGAATGAATTACATTTTAAAATATATTAAAATAGTTCTTTTAAATTGTAATAATATTTCACATTATTGCTGTTTTACTGTATTTTTGATCAAATAAATCCAGCCTTGGTGAGTATAAGAGGCTTCTTTCAAAAACATTAACAACACCTAAATCTACAACATCTCATTTGCCGATATTGATTTTTGATTTTCAGATTTATGTCTGTTTATTTCACAAACATCTGACATATAGTCGAAATTTAAATAAAACATAAATAAAAAGCCCTTCAGAGCTAATTGAGAATTAATAATTAAAACAGTCAATCTAAGTGAACTGTGGAAGAACTATTTTTGAGCAATGCAGTGTTCCTCTGCCACACAGTGTTACTTAAGAAAAGATATCTATTATTATTGATGATGTGACATAGTTAACTGGCTTGAACAAAGCATTGTAAGCATCCCCTCCGTATAAAGTACTCCTGATGTCTTCATGTCCAAGCATACATTTGAATTCACGGCATGCAAGGAGTTTCTTTTATCCCTTTTAGACAGCACTTCTGAAAGAGTGACATTCCCTCAGCGGTGTAGATAAACACAGACAACAGAATCCCTGCTCTTGAGGAGAAAAGAGAGGGAACCCAGACGTGAGGTAGGGGGAAGGTGCTTTTTCATCACAAACATTAACATAGACTCTTGATGTGACACTCCGGTCAACTCTGATCTGAGTAGGAAGTGGCTCCGGGCCAAGGTAAATAATCCGCTGGACAGAGTGAGACAGAACAGGGGAGGTTGTGTGAGGATGAATGGGACAGGCTGGAGGTGGAAGCAGCCCTCCAGAGCACTCGTCCATCAGGGGCTCCTTAATCAAAGTTTTCCTAGGGTGGACAACGGGAGGAGAGAGGGGTGTTGCCTTTGCACTTCGAACTGCTATGAGTGCTTTTCCACCCCCAACTGTTATTTATTTATTTCCAGTTTAATCTCAGCAGCCAAGATGGCAGTAATGCCTGTAATTAATTCTGAGTCATCTGTTTAGTAATTATTATTTTTATTATTTTCATACAATATTTTTACCTTGGGTGCAAGTTGAAAAAAAAAAGTTTAATATGGAATTTATTGATTTATTTATGCCCATACTACCTGACAGATATCATTAAAATAGGTGTCTTGAGAAATCAAAAGAAAGTTGTGTAAATGGCAAAAATAGTTGGGGGCGTGGCCTGTACTTTTTAAGCCAGTCAGACTCATTCTCTGATGGTTTATTGACGTTGGGTTGACATTTTGTTTGGAGGATTACAGGGTTGGACGATGAGGATTGGTATTATGGTAATGGTATTACCATAGTACTTTTTGTAAGTGAAGCCTGACATGTATGTGGCAGTTGGGTAGCAGTAGCAGAGTTTGGGACCTACTCTCTTGAGTCGCTTTTGAGATATGTGTGGTGTTGACAGAACTGGAGCGCTGCTGAGTCTCAGGGCAGTGCTGGCATGCTCTCGTGTTCCCAGAAAAAAACACAATGTGTTTATTTACTGCCGAGCAAGTGCAAATGCATTTTCATGTACTTGCCTGTGATTGAAACGGTGACTCGGTGTGGATTTTTTTTTTTTATAAGGCCTGGATTCATTATCAAAGGGGCTACAGTAAACAGCTTAACCAGGAGCAGGTTCCTCAGGGACCCTCAGGAAGTGATGGAAACGTTTTCTATCAGGCCTCGTAAGGAAAAGCATGTTTGCTGGAGCATGTGTGAATGTCAAGAAGAAATCCCCCTTTTTGTGCTTCACCCTCAGTGAATTAACAGTTTCTCTCTTTAAACAAGGTGCCGCTGTAAAGCTAACAGATAGGGGTCATTGTTCGTGTAAGGGGAGAGATTTTGTTTATTGTTCTATTAAGAGCTATACTACCCTCAAACTCAATATAAAATCCTGTCATAAACTTCCATTTATTTCCCTCTGTTAGCAATATTCATACATATATGCTCTTAGCTCTGCTAGATCAAAACCCCACTCCCTGTTCACCTCGAAATATTAATTCAAGTGCACCAATGTTGACACGGAGTACGAGGGTGACAGTCGCCCACCCTGTCGTTACCCGCACACACGATTCCTCTCGAGAGTGCTTCCCCTCCTCCCCCACATCGGGTTGCCTGCCAGCTCGCCAGAGAAAAGGCTTCTATTGTGGAGCTGTCAAAGCGCTAAGCTAAGTGGGCTAAGGGAAAGCTCTCCTTAACAAAGGAGCCTGTCACCATCAAACAACAACAAGACAAGAGAACCCAGAGGGACACTCTTAAATGACAATTTGGCACCTACGGTGGTCGCTGTAAAAAAATAACCAGAAACACATCTAATAATAGTAGTTATGGGGAGGGTGGAGGGTGTGGAGAATCGGGGGGAGTGAGGGGTTATTATAGAGGTGTGTGACTCAGTGAAATGGCAAAGTCTGGACCAGGAGAACTGGATCAGTACACTGTATTTAAGTGACAAGCTGTCCTGATGAATGATGTCACGGTGTCAAGAGGAAGGTCAGGGCATGGATTTGTTATAACCCCACCAGTCAAAGGTGTAGGTACTCTTCTGCCTGAAACTGTTTTGGATGGATTTTAAGGAAGAACTTGTTGCTGGATTTGCAAAGGTTTCCTGGCAAGGAAACATCGAAAGATCTTCTAGAGTTTTCTTTGTGTCACTAGAATGTAAACTAGATATTCTTGAGTGCACCTGCACATTTTAGTTATATCACATGCATTGGCTGAAGATGTTACACATGATTTGATATCCTCCTACTGAGTGAAATCATAGTCTGAAGTATAAATATCAGAGTCTGTGCCAATCATACACTGCAAGATTTGCTATGAATTTGGTCAACTGGTCAGACTGACAAAAAAACTGCAGAAAGGTTATGACTTTCAGCAACTAGTTTTGACTTGTTGTGGAACAAATCTGGGCAAAACTAGTGTATGCCAATGTTTACAAAACAAGGAATAATTTTGACCAATCCTGACCTACTGCAAGACAACCGCAAGGCTTTGTCTTTGCTGTGACACCAAATAGATAATCTAATAGTTTGAGGCAGTCCAAAAATCAGAACAAATTCATGTTCGACCTTAACTGGCTGTGCAAAGTTGTTTAGCATGCATCATAGAGACAGACTTACATGACTGAACACAAAAGACGTCTGAAGAGTGAAAGTTGGTCTGGTGGACTGATCAATCTATATTTCACCCATATTGGTCCAACCCATATTGGAATGAAGCAGAATTGTGATGTGTGGACAGTTGAACAGCTCACAACCAGTATGGCCAATTACTGTCCATTTCAGAAGCATCCTGATCCATCAATATATGGGGTGTCCAGCCCTGCTCCTAGAGAGACCCAGTGTCCTGCAGAATTTGGCTCCCAACAGATTTGCCTGGAAGATTTTAGTTATCCTGAAGATCTTGATTACCAGGTTTGGGTGTGTTTAATTTAGATTGGAGCTAAACTCTGCAGGACAGTGGCCCTCCAGGGTTTGGACTAACCATCCCTGATCAACGTAGTGAAAACTTGGTCATTCCATGTCCTTTCAGCAAGATGATAACCCCAAACACCTCAATCTTCTCTATATTTGGATGGCAATGGATGTGAAAGACTTTATAAGTCTTCAGGTCTCAATATCTGAAGTTATAAGCAACCAGACAGAAACAAAGTTACCCACAAGATCCCTAATTCTCTTGGAGTTATTGCAGAAGAGTCAGGCAAAAATACTAGCAAACATGTTTGTGACTGTTGTATTTGGCCAAGGGCAGTTTTCTCAGAAATACTTTTAATCTACTGGACTTAATAATTGAAGAACAGTCAGGAACTCACCTCACCTTCAAACAAGTCCAAATGAGGTACGTAGACCAAAAAAATAATAATAATTTACTGGACTTAAAACCCAATACATCCTTGAAATTTCTTGAGTGATGCCTGAAATTACTGTAAAGGTACAAGAGGTTTTTTATTATCGGGGAGATCTTTACTGCCACTGTCACCTTGTTGTTGTTCACTGGTATCTAGATCTTGAAGGCGGGGTATGTATTTTTTCTAAAACGCTTTAGAAAACTGAGTCGGGCCGAGTACCAAAACAAACTTGTAGCCAATCAGCAGTAAGGGGCGTGTCTACTCATGATGGGGAGGAGAGAGCGTTCAGTGCACAGGACAGACATTAGCCGAGCTGAGCGATGCTAGAAAGATAGAGATGGCAGATAAAAAACAAAAGAAGAAAACGTCTGCGGAACAAAAGAAGGCTTACGATAAGGCAAGAAGTAGGACCCGTGTAAATATCGGTTCAGCTTTCCAGCGCTGGAGAGAACTCAAGGTGCGGGAAGGCTTGCGATCGGACGCCGAGGTTGCTTTGCTTCACACGGAGCTAAACCATTCATGTTAAAACACAAAACACATTTAACCTGTATTACCATAGTAACACACATTGCTTTCACTTATTGATGACATCATACCCTCGGCCAGCTGGCACAGCAGATTCCACCATAATCGTTGCCTGGGTTGTGTACGTATGTGCGCAGTGGAGCTATTAAAATAGGGGTGAGACCCTTTTGGGGTAAGGGCGTGTTTGTTTTGGTGATTTGAAATATCAACATTGGCTACCAGAAATCACTTACCCCACCTTTAAGTTTTTGAAATTATTGTTAAATGTGCTTTACACAAAGTTGGAATTGAACTGAAAATCGCTATAAGGCTTTTGTGATCATAATTGGCATTTCTGTCAAGGTACGTGAATCTCCCTGGAATCTCCCTCCCATTTGCCTATCAGGTAGCTGGCAGGCAGCTATGGAGACAAGTAGCAGGCGCCTCACAATTTGCAGGATCCCTCTGCGCAACACGGCAAATTTTAGTAATGACCAGCGAGTGTTCCACTCTCACAATTAGGAGCATAGCTGCCATACAGCCCAGAGCCGACCTATGAGACCCCAGAGTTCAGAGCCCAGCAGTGATGTGGCACAAGTCTGCTACTTCAAACTACATGACCCGCTCTCTACAGAGTGTCTGCTCTGCCCTCCAAAAGATCTGTCCACTCTGCCTGAATATTATTGAAGCCGAGAACGGTGACAAAGACAGACCAATCTGACCGTGGTCTGAAATTACACCTTCAGTTTTAATCACCTGTTTCCAGTCCTTTTTTTAATTTAGTTGTCTTCTTTTAAATGGGGCACTATCTTTTATATAACCATTTATCATTTGTCAGCTTAACACATTGTTTTTAATCTCACTGTGAGTCTGATATGTTGCTTAATTGTGTTTTGAGTTGGTTTTAAATTCTATCCTAAACTCAGAGTATATTCACTTTTTTGATGACTTTTAGCTCCAATGGTTTCTTAGTAACAAACTGTGGAAATATGAATATGTGAACAGATTGTTTATGTGGGGGGGAAACAACAGAAAAATGGAGAATTAAGTACTTGGCTGAAATGTACACCAGAATTCTGGAACAAATTTGGTTCATAGCATTTTGGGTCCTTCAAACCCATTGAAGCTGTACAGTAATGAGTGGTGACACTGAGAAAAAGCACACCAGCTTTTTTTTTTTCCTTTTTCTCTTTTCATGTGCTAACAGTTATAAAGTTTAGAGGTTGTCTCTGGATACTTGTTTTTCTTAGGCTTGGTTTCACTTTAACAACCAGCTGTTCATTTAGACTAATTCCCAAGCTTTCTGCTGTGTTTTAAGCAATTAAAGGTATTTGAGTGAGATCACTTTGTTGTGAATATTATAACTAGAGCCACCTACTTCTGTGCTTTTATACAGTATGTACTGAGGCAGCAAAATCAATGCAGGCAAAGCCAAAAGAATCAATGACCTGATCATGAAGGCTGTTTCAAGAGCTTCGACATCCTGAACAACACCTTCCATCTACTCCATGGGGCTGTTATTGTACAGTGAAACATGTTTAGCAACAGGCATCATGTGCAGTGGAAGAGTTTTGGAGGGTTTTTTTCATGCTGCTGTCAAAGCTATTTGAGGCTTTAGCCATTATATCTGTTTATCTTGTGCCCTAAGTCCTTTTCCACCAATAAATTACCTTCCATATTTATGAATAAACCCTGGACCTGTGGATGGGAAAAGTAATGGCATGGCAATAGAATAGTTTTGCTTTTAAACTACCTCCTACATCTGGACAGATTTACTGTACATTAGGATGGTGCGTCAACACACAATGTCTGAGAACAACATGTTAGAGCACGGACATCCCATGTGAGTCAGCTTATCTGATTATCGTTTTGCCTAGATTTATACAGTAGTGATGAAAGATAACTTGACAGATCAAAACATCATTGAAGCTTAATGGAAAGTTTGTGTGTGTGTGTGTATATTATGTGTGTGTATATATAATATACACACACATAATATTAGCATGCATATTACTAGCATATTGGCTGTTTATTACTACTTATAAAGCACATATTAATGCCTTATTCCGCATGACCGTATTTTAGATCCTTTAATTCTACACCATACCTAAACATAAAAATGTTTATACTAACTATTAATAAGCAGCAAATTAGGAGTTTTGAGGCAAAAATTGTAGTTAACAGTTTGTTAATAGTGAGAATTGGTCCCCAAACTAAAGTGTGACCGAAATTAAATTTTTGGGTGAAGTATCCCTTTATACACAATTGCCCAAATCATTATTGAAGATTATTGGAAAGTTTGTGAAGTGTGAATTAAGTTTCCTTCTTTCCACAATCAATCAGGCTGGTTCATGGGAAGAACTCTTATTCCCTTTATTTGTCATGCTTCTCTGTATGTTTTTGTTCATGTTTATTCTTTGTTGTACTAAGCGTTTCACTGTGCTTTATATCTACAAACTAGATAATGTTCTTGATAATGTATGATCTAGAGACGTACATGAACTCTACCTGCAAATCATCTGTTAGCAGAAACTGTGCTTTCAGCACCTGGTTTCCTACGTAGGTCTTTCTCAGCATCTGTTAGATATTACCAGGGTAATGACTGGTAGTTTTGTTCAAAGTCCTTCTCAATCTACAGTCCTGCACGACAGCTTAGGTCATAGAAAACTAAAGCATAAACACATTTTGTTCTTAAAGGGCTTTTATTGTTTGAGTTTTAGGGGGACATTCGTCTGTTTGTCTTTATTTCATGGCTGTGGAGTGTTCTGCTGGCAATCAGGCCTTGAAAGAGTGTTGATACAGACATGTGGGTCAGCATCCTCTCTGGATGATGTCACTGCTTCTATCTATCTATCTGTCTGTCTGTCTGCATGTATGTATATACAGTACTTGATTGATGTGTCATTAAAACTTGGTTGTGTTTATTTTTGCAGAATGCTTGAGGATGACCTGAAAATCAGCAGTGATGAAGAGGACAATGAACAGGTAAATTATGCAGACAGATCAAGCTTTGGACAGTCTGAACTATCAAAAATATAGTTGAATTTCAGGACAAAATATAGTTTGAGCTTGATTCACAGTCTCACCCTGAGCAAACGCTGGATTATCAATATAATGAGCTTCCGTGTTGTGTATATATATATATATATATATATATATATATATATATATATATATATTTAATTTGAGTTGAAGACATTGTGTGCTCACGTGCTAGGGTCTAAAGTCTTATAAATAATTTAAAATATATATATCACAAAATTATATTGTGATTTACACTGTACGTACATATAGACATGAAGTTTGTTTAAAGTGTATGTCCAACACAAACACACATGTCTGTGTGTGTGTGTGTGTGTGTGTGCATGCGTGTGTGTGTGTGCGTGTGTGCGTTTGTGAGAGAGAGAGAGAGAGAGAGAGAGAGAGAGCTAGAGCTGAGTTGTAGCGGCATATATATTTTTGCCTCTTTCTCAAAGTGGCCACATAAACCCACTTTGTCTTAATTTGTCCCTATTTATTGCCATTAAAGGCCAAATACATAAAATACAAATTTAAATTAAATAAAATACCTTATGTAAAAGGAGACGAGAACATTATTCTTGAAATTTCACCAAGAATAATTACTCAATTAATTGGCAACACTTTCAGCTTGAGGAGCACTTTGCCCTACAACAGACCAGAGGTTGTAGGCCATTTTACCATATTAGCTACACAAATTAAAAGGCATATTTCAGATTAAATAGCAAATTAAGCTCAACGGGTTCGTCGGCATATGCATATGGGGCAAATATACAGCAGTTGTCTATAGACTTTTTTCTACAAAATGAGACACAAGTCAGCATTATTTTCTGTGGTAACTGTGCGTGTCAAAGGCAATGTATTAAGTTGAATTGAACTCACAATATTCTCTTAATATGGAGATGTCCTGTTGCCTTGTTCATTTTTGAAAGAATAAAGAAAATGACTGGATATTTTGAAAAATGACAAAAACAATTTTTTTTTTTTAAATGTCAAAGATCATCTATTAGAAGTTGATTAAAGTCACAGCATTTGAACAACTCAATAATAGTACATGCTCATACTATGTCCTTGAATACTTGAATATAATACAGTAAAGACTGTTAATTATGTCTCAGTTTACTTTTTAATTATCTAATGTCTTTTCTCAACCTTCAAATTTAAAAGGATTGTAGTAAATGGATGTACAAAAAGACATAATTTGTTATGGATCACTAGATAATGGGGTTTGAGCTGTTTGGGTCCAACAAGCAAAGCAACTTTTCATTAAATGTGTAAAATCCTGGATTAAAAAAATAAATAAAAAGGATTATCTCACAAATGAACCAAGCCCTGCAGGGATGATTCTAAACCCATAATACAAAATAAATACCACAGCACAAAATACTACTTCCACATAGGTTATAAATATAACAAAAAATTTTAATGAAAATAAAATAACATTTGACCATAAAACTGACCTGTTTTTCACCTAAATTGAAATAAAAATGCTAATAAAGGTCTGCGAGTAGCTCATCAAATAAACTACTTAAAGGGTTAGTTCACCCAAAAATGAACATTTTGTCATCATTTACTCACCATAATGCAATTAAAAAAAATTTTTTTTAAATGATGTAAGTCAATGGAACCCAAAATCGTTTTGGTTACCAATGAGTAAATGATGACAGAATTAGGGCTGGGCGATATGACGATATTATCGTATATCGACGATGTATCGTAAGTATCGCGATGTCAATGTCAACAGTCAGGTAACAGACGATTATCGACATTATTGGGGAAAAAATGACAAATGAGAAACCTAGTAAGTTGGAAAAAGTATTTTACATAGCCCCACTATACAGGTTTTTTTGCATGCAAGAATTAAATAATTTAGTAGGAGGCTTGGGAATCGAAAAGCTATTCCAATTTCAGAAATCAGATCAGATGCGGAAGGTCAGGAGTCAAATTAGCCTACTTTTTATAAAATTACATTTCGATTCTGCGTCTCGATTTCTGTATGCGCATTTATTGTGATTTAAAAAGATTCAACTGCAAGAAGACGAAATAGAACTCACTTCTGCACTCGCACGCTGTTTTCGTGCACACACACACAAAGCGCACGCACAAAAGCCGCCTCTTATATACGCGAACACTGGACTGAGCTCTCTTTCTCGTGTTCTTACACATTCAAATGGACAAATACACACAGAATTAAATCAAAATATCCCATAAATACAATCAGTTATGTCTTAAATTAAGCTAAGATATAGCACTATAAATTCCTAATTCATTTGCAACAAAACTATAAAGTTTTGCATAATGCAATTAAAAAAAATTTTTTTTAAATGATGTAAGTCAATGGAACCCAAAATCGTTTTGGTTACCAATGAGTAAATGATGACAGAATTAGGGCTGGGCGATATGACGATATTATCGTATATCGACGATGTATCGTAAGTATCGCGATGTCAATGTCAACAGTCAGGTAACAGACGATTATCGACATTATTGGGGAAAAAATGACAAATGAGAAACCTAGTAAGTTGGAAAAAGTATTTTACATAGCCCCACTATACAGGTTTTTTTGCATGCAAGAATTAAATAATTTAGTAGGAGGCTTGGGAATCGAAAAGCTATTCCAATTTCAGAAATCAGATCAGATGCGGAAGGTCAGGAGTCAAATTAGCCTACTTTTTATAAAATTACATTTCGATTCTGTTTCTGTATTTCTGTATGCGCATTTATTGTGATTTAAAAAGATTCAACTGCAAGAAGACGAAATAGAACTCACTTCTGCGCTGTTTTCGTGTTTTCGTGCACACACACACAAAGCGCACGCACAAAAGCCGCCTCTTATATACGCGAACACTGGACTGAGCTCTCTTTCTCGTGTTCTTACACATTCAAATGGACAAATACACACAGAATTAAATCAAAATATCCCATAAATACAATCAGTTATGTCTTAAATTAAGCTAAGATATAGCACTATAAATTCCTAATTCATTTGCAACAAAACTATAAAGTTTTGTTGCAAACGGATGAAGATATTAGTAGGCTTCTCAGCTCGCCCCTCAACATGCATGCGTTCGGAGTTTCGGCAGCCCAACACTGAATATTATATTGTGAGCGTTGTATTTTGATTAATAAAATAAAAATGTTAAAAATTACAATCTAAAAATTACATTTAAATTACCCTGCTTCTAATTAAATAAAGCAGTAATTTTTATTTCGTTAAAAACGGGCCAAAAGAGACCTCCGAACTAGTAGGCTACCAGAAAGGGGAAAAAAAAAAACTTAACGTTTTTGCTCAGAATTCATTTTTAATCCCTGCATGATTTTAGTCATTCATGATAAATATCAAATACGTTATAGCTTGACTACAAGTTTAAAAAACAACGCTGCAATTGTTATAATTAAGGAAATTAAACTTACCATCATGAAATGTATCTACACAGGCGATAATGCCAAAAAGAAAGAGAAACATTGCATATTTTATTCAAGACATTATTATATGACATCAACATGCATTTATCATTCTTACAATCACCGCCAGAATGTCCAACTTCACCATGATGAACTTCAAATTGGGTTCTCTTATTTTTCCTCAACAGTTCTCCTCACAAAACGAAATTCATTTCAAACACAAAGAACAGAATTCTTTTTATAAGAACAGAGTGGAAATTATTAGCAACACCAACATAACAGCAAAGCTAATGTTTTCTGTTAGTTTAAGCACAAACTAAGAAAAGTAAAACCAAACTTTGTGGCAATGATTAAGACCAAATTGACCATGGTGTGTGTTTATGGTGCGTGTCGGCAATGTTGTCTCGGGGGGGGCGGGGCGTGGTGGAGGTGGGACTTAGGTAGACGATATTATCGGATATCGCGATATTTTTAAAGGTGATTATCGATAAGATATTTTTGACATATTGCCCAGCCCTAGACAGAATATACATTTTCAGGTGGACATTTACATGGTTTTATGTTGAGATTTGTAACAGATTTCTGCATAACTTACAACTGAACAGTTGACGAATTCAGACGAGTTCAGACTACACTGCTGTTTTTGTTTTGCCGTAAAAAGGTTTTTATCCTCGTTTCTGTTGTGAATTGAATATTTAAGGTCTGACATAGCACACGTTGATCATGTTTGAAATGGCTTTGGCCCTGTGTTGATGTTAACAGGCGCTGTGCTAAACCATTCCGTCACACTGGCTTTTTGGAAAAGCTAATGTAATCCGAATCACAATAGTGATGCCCACTCTCACACGCCCCCCTAATAAAACCCTCCTCCTCCTCCTGTCTCTCACATACATAGCCTTAAAGCAAGTGCCCCAAAACTCCTTACACTCATGATGGAGGCGACCTGACATTCATAAGAGTTCACTAGCACGTGTTCTTGTGTGTATGCTAGCATTTGTATGTCCCTGGCCACGTGTTGGTTTACCTACACACGCCACCGCCAGCAGCAACGGCCCCCAACCATGTTGCCTAGCAACATCCATCTGCGAGCAGCCTGGAATGAGCCCAAATTCCCCACTGAGAGGGAAACAGCAATAAGAGGGCCTGTGACAGATGATCTGAGTTGTTTCATCTAATACACTGTGAAGATCACTGGCTCCCTCCCTGAATGATAAATGGACTGTACACAGATCAATGGCTGCAGTATTAAACCCAAAACCTGCGTCTCTGCTTCTGCAGCTGCCCAGGTAGCGGTAACCCGGCACTGTGTTCATCTGTAGTGCTGGATATCTCAATATATCCCTATTTACCTTGAGAGATTTGATTCTGAAAGTAGCGCTTATGGGCCAGTAAAGCACTCTGTGATGCATTTACTACAGCCGAAGGAGTCACTGTGACAAACATACAGCTCAGACCTAATAAACAGCGTGCTGTCATAGAGGAACGTGCAGATTAGCTCAGGAAAGGAATCTCATTGAGTGAAGAGATTGTTTTATATTAGGCTAGGGCACTTAGTGATAGTC